CACAGGACAAGCCCTGTGAGAGAGACGTGTGCTCGAAACACTCCAGAGGAGCATCAGCGACCTTGGGAGTCAGGAGAAGCTTCACCGAGAGTTATCTTCCCGAGCTGAGCAAAGAAGGGCAAGGAAGAGCCCCTCAGGTGGACAGACAAACATTGCAACATGGCAAGAAGCAAGTGGCCGGGAGGTGACCTCTGAAAGCAAGGAGCATTTTAATACAGACTGGCATTTCGGTGGAACTGGGTTCCTGGATGGGGATGGGCGCAGAGTGGAGGCCAGAGAGCGAGGGTGGAGGGGAAGATAAAGGGACTGTTTAGAGATGAAACTAGAAAGACAGCGGGGATAGGTCTTCAGTGGTCCTACAAGTCTGCTAAGAAGAAGAGGGATCAGCCCCTTTCAAGCTGCACTCATGGTTGGTGCGATCCTTACATTTTCTTAATAAATAGCACAGAACTTCTTCTGGGTTGAAGTTGTTCCAATTAGTCAACCATTTTAGGATGAGGAAACTGGGGTTCAGAGAAGTTGGGTGATAAAGCCACCGCGAGCAGTGGCCGTGCGCATGCTCAGGTGGGAGCCAAGGTCTGTCCGTCCTAGCACTCTGCCACCTGGCTCAGGTTCAGAGGTCAGGTCTGGCCCGTGTGCAGCAGAGTTCTCTCTGAGGCAAGGGATGAGATGACGGGATGACTCACTCACCGTCACAGCGCAGAGAGTGAATCAGGGAGAACAGCTGGGAACAGAGATAGAAGACTAGTTAAAGGACAGAATGACAGAGCTGGGAGGTCCTGGGTTGAAGGGGTGCAAAGGAGGAGAAGGAGACACAGGAGAGACTGTAGGGAGAGCAACGAGTCCAAGTTAGGGACAGGGGGAAATGAGGCCACTAAGGGCCACAGTCGGTCAAGCCAAAGGACAGGAAGGGACGTTAATGAGACTCTTGTGCTGCGGACCCAAGGCCTACCTTTCAATTCCTAGTCAGAACTTCCCAGTTCTTCTCCAACCTTGGGACAGAACCCACCACAGCACTGAAGAGGAGAGAGGGGCTTCCACAGAGTCCTATGTCCTCGGGTAGTGAAAGTCACCCTCATCTCCCAGACACAGCGTCCCTGCTAATCTGATCCCTTCTCTTCAGTGAACTTCCTTGTGCTCCCTGTAGGTAGTTCATGGTGGGTCCTCAACAGAACCCCTAATCCCACCTCTCCTTGAGAGTCGGCTTCATTTCTTTCTTTCTTTTTTTAAATTGAACCACAGCCTAGCTGCCTGGGGGGGGGCGGGGTGTCCCCACAGCCTTCTCTCGTGGTGGCTCTCTTGTCTCCCTCACACTCCTGGGCATGAAACCGAGGTGTCTCCCCCACTGTGATTTCCTACTTCTCTTTCTTTGGTATAAGCATCTTTGGCTCCTTCGAGTCTCAGGCAATGTCACCCCCATCCCTCCTGGTTTCTCTCGCTACCCTCCCTCAATCCTTGAGGATTTTTAATATTAAAATCACCTTTGTTCTTACCAGCGCCCGCCTGTATCATTCCTACTGACTTCTGCATCCACATGGATGGTCCTTTAATACCCGGCCTCTCAGATCCCTGGCCACCTAACCTTGCCCCCTTACCTGGCCTGGGCTCCTGTCATTGTGTTTGAACCCCTCTTACCCATCTGTGCCCCAGAACCTGTAATTTCCACTTGTAATTTCAGGATTACGTATCACACAATCATACTTTCTCTAATCCCCCCACCACACACACACACATCGTCGAGGCTACTTACACATTCAGTCTTTGGACCTGACCAACTTTCCATTTTTCACCATCCCTCATTGACCTCCTTCCCCGACCTAGGTCCCTTCGTCTGGCACTACGGTCACTCCTTGGCACACACTCTCAACATCCCAGTCTCCTTTCCCTTTGATCTTGTAGGTACTCATATCCTGGTTAAATCCAACTCTCCTTCTGTTCTTTGCCTGCCTGTACACAATCTGTTTTCTGAGGGAGCTGATGAAACTCACAACTATGTTGACTGGTCTCGTGATGACATTGTTGTACTAGGAAATGCAGAAATATTCAGAGACCGCTGATTGGATTTGTCAGTCCCTTCCTGGTTGGAATGGACTGTCTTGGTGGCCACCACAGGCAGGTGCGGGTGGCTGGAGGAGGAAGTCACTGGGGGGGATCCTTGGGAGGGTGACTCTTCCCTGCACCCTCACCCCTGCTCCCCTGCTTCCTGGCTGTCATGAGCTGAGTGGCTTTCCTCCATCACGACCTTCCGCCATGATGATCTGCCTCACCTTGGGCCTAGAGCGATGGAGTCAGGGACTGAACCTCTGAAACCATGGGTCAATTTAAACTATTCCTCCTCTAACTTGGGTGTTTGATCACATCGATGAAGAGCGAACACAGGCAAGAATCTCACGTAGGCCTTTGGTGCTACCCAGACGTCCACCACGTTGACCCAGTCAGCTGGCCGTCCTGACAGCGGCCCCTACTCTCTGAGAAGCCCATTTCAGACATTGTTTTCTCAACAGTTCCCTCTCCTTCCTTTCAGCCAAGGACGTCGCTGCTTGTTTCACCAAGGAAACAGAATTAGCCGGAAGAGAGCTGCTGTCTTCCCGCCACTCCTGACTCCTCCAGCATTGCTCCAGCATTGGACACACCTCCCGTCCCTGTTGCGACCCGGGAAGAGTTCACATTTCCAAGCAAGACCAGCCCCTCCACTCCCACACAGAAGAGCAGCCCCTCCCACCCAAGGGTGTACTCTTGCAGTTATCTCCTGTCTCTGCTGCACCTTCACTGTGCCCCTTACTACTGAGTCATTTCAGTGTCACACCAATACGCTGGACCCTCTCCAGCCTTCCTTGACCCCACGCTGCTCCCCAGCCATCACCGGTTCTTCTATTTGCCTTTAGAGCAACAGCACTGTCTCTCTCCCTATCTGATCCCTTCTGTGCTTTCTCTCTTGGACCCTGTCTACTCGGCCTCTTGTACCCTTCATGTCACTGAAGCCAGTTGTTCTGCTACCTTCAAGGTTATAGCTGCCTTCGAGTTGCCAGGCTGAAGGTCAGTTCTCCGTCTTTGCCATAACGATGGAGCCATGGCTTTCACCCAGGTGCCCGGGCTCCCCGTGGCTGTGGGATACACTTTGCTTTTCCTGTGATCCCACCTTGGTTCCCTTTGTATGTCTCTGTCCTGTCTCAGGCTTCTCGCTAGGATTCTTTTCCTCTTCCCATTTCTGAATGTTGGGGTGCTTTCCACGCAGGTTCAGGGCTATCTTAGTGGCTACCCTCATTCCTTGAATGTACTCCTCTCTTCCTTTCCCACATTTTTGAGAATCAACTACACCTGTGTATAGATTTGTGTGCCAGATTTCTATCTCCAACCATGATTTTTTTTTTTTTCCTTGAAATCCTGGTGTTTATGTCCAACTGCCTATTAGAGTTCTCTACTGGGATGTCTAATGGGAACATCAAGTTTCACAAGTCCACATTTAAAATCAAAAGCCTGGTTGATTTCTTCCAGATCTGCACCCCCTGCCAGGGTTTTCCTTTTCAGTAAATGGAATCACTATTTGTCTGGTTGCTGAGGCCCCAAATCTTGCTGTTAGTCTTGAATCCTTTCTTCCAACCCATTACCTAGCCCTGCAGGCTCCACCATCAAACTGCATTTTGAATCTGTCAACTTCTCGCTCCCTAGGGTACCAGCTTTGTCTAAGCCACCAGCAGGAAGGGCCTGATGATTGGGCCCTGCACCCCACAGCTGATCTTTCACTCCCTCTCCAGACCCCACACAGGGCTCTCACGGTGCTCACAGAAGACACAAGCCTCTTCCCTGGGACATTGACCCTTGCTCTTCCCCCGTCCATAAGGCTGTAGCTCAAGAGACCCGCGTGGATGGCTCCCCTGCTTCCTTCAGGTCTCTGTGTAAGGGGTCCTCCTTCAGAGGTTAGACCTGAGGTCCTTGTCCCCATGTCCTCATACCTGGATCCATTTCTCCATGCCATCAGTCACCACTTGACACTGTGTGTGTATTTAACTATGGCTCCACCATTAGAATTCAAGCTGCACGAGGGTGGGATTTTATATGTTTTGTCCACTCTTGTATTTTTAGGACCCAGAATAGAGCCTGACACATAGCAGGCACTCAATAAATATTTGTCAAATGAACGAATGGATGAACAAAATGTCCTTGTGAGCTTCAGCTGGGATAAAGCAGCCTATGACACGTATTTGATGTCTCTTCACCACCTTAATTTTAGACTTAGACTTTAAAAATCAGTATTGTCAATTATTTTGATTAATTTTCCCTAGAACAATAGGAATTTTACTAAAAATCTCCTACATGTAAGAAGAGAAGATGGGATGGAGATCCTAGTAGTTGAAGTCAGAGTATCTCCTGATCTTTCAAAATTATGCATGAGATCATGTCACTCCCCTTCTAGAACGCTTCTGTGGTTTTCCCACTGCACTTTGACTTTTATCAAAACTCATCATGGCCATGTGATCTGGCTGCAGGCTACTTCTGAACTTCATCTTGTAGCAGTGTCTTTCTTGGTCACCTCTCTGCAGTCACAAACAGCCTTCTCTGTGCTTCAACAAGGCACCTCAGGACCTTAGTACATGCTGCTCTGCCCAAACATTCCTCCCTCAGCACTACACACAGCTGGGTTCTTATTATTCCATCTCAGCCTCAAAGTGTCCTTCCTGACCTGATTAGCTGGTCCCTCCCACATTCTAGGACACCTGTCTTTTCTTTATCTGAAACTACTTTGTTTTGCTTATTACCTCGTCCTCCCCTAGAAGGCAACCTCTGTGGAAACGGGGACCTTCTCTACCTTCCCCAACAGTCCCTGGGCTAGGCCCTCTCAGAGCAGGTACTCCAGGAATATGTGCCGTGGGATGAATGACGACCCTCTCTGAGGACCAGCTGAGACTCCACCGGACGCTGCGTTTGTGCTTTGGCCGGTCAGGCCTGGCTGACCTGGAGCTGCTCAGGGCTCTGGCCTCTGGGCTCCCTCAGGCGGTTACCTTGATGGCCCCTGTGGCTATCTGTATGTGGTGCAGCCGGCGCAGAGTGCTCTCTCTGTCAATGAAGTAAGAGGCTGCCAACTGGTGCAGGGTCTCCAGGGACACGGCAGAGCTGTTCCCACTGCCCCCGAGGACAGGGGCACCTCCTGCGGTCTCTGCCTTTCTGCTCAGTTTCCGCTTGTCCACGAAAATGGTCAGGGACTCTTCTCCTATAACAGAAAAACATGGGTTCATTGGGAGGCCTTCCACGCCCCGATCCCTGCCAGTGAGAACATGAAACCCCTGGCCAGGGCAGACGCGCTGGGAGGACACGCTGCCCTGCTGCGGATCTCTTCCCCATCCCTGCCCATCTTTGAAGCAACCTCCTTGTCTGCACCACAGGGTCCAAGTCTCACTGCCTGAGAGGCCCTCCTCCTCCTCAGTTCTTTAAGTCCCCCAGAGCTCAGCCCTCACCCCCAGCTTATCCCTTTAACATCCTCTATTGATCTGCTTCTCAGGCAATCTACCCCCGGAGGGGAAGAGCCAGTTCTCCCTCTCTCTCAAGTTGTTTATAAGAAGTCACCAGGGCTATTTCTGCTCCCTCGGAAAGGGCAAAAGGCTTGAAACCGAACCTCTGTCCTCCCATCAAACACTCCACACCTACCCCATGCCGGCAGCTGGCCTGAGCCCTGGGAGAGCTTCCCTTTGTCCACTGGATGGTGATAACAAATCCTGCTCTCTTCTTTCTGCCTCTTCAGAGCTTTCCGTCCTGGCAGGGTCCCAGTCACACACTGCACCCCCCCACCCCCACACTCCCCCCCAACCAGGGGATGATTCTCCAACCCAGAATCTTGTTGGAATTGGGTTGTTGGCTGGTCACCATTCTTTATAGAGAGAAAGCAGCGGTCAGGGACTCAACAGGCATCTACTTCTTTGCCTGTGGGTCTGACATTTGTAGCCTCAGCAAATATTAGGAAATGGCTAATATTTCGATGGCTCCATAAAAAGAAAACTGGGAGCGCCCCCTGCTGGTACATGCTTGGTAGGAGCCGGCCGTGCCCTGACCTTACCCCGCACCCCCCTCTCAGGAGGATGCTTTTAAGCAAACAGAAATGTTCTGGGGTAAATATGGATTCCAGGAGAATACACTGTTCTCCAACGTACCAGAAAGAATTTCTCAGGAAATAATAGGCCAGGAAGGAAAAAAAAAAAAAAGGCCGTTGGAGCTCCATTCAATAGGTCATCTAGCTGTGTTCAGCACCCTGCACCCGTTAGCTGGGGCTGGAGATGCTGCTTACCTCCAAGGGTGGCGGAAAGTAAGAAATGAGTGCCGTACTTTTTGATCAGGTTTTCAGTAACCTGTTGCAGGTTAGGTCTCCTTCCCAGGAGGCGGATGTTCCGGACAAACTCTGGGGCAAGAGGCAAAGGCAGACTGAAGAAGTCCTTCCGTTCCAGAGCCAGACTGTTCACCTTCCAACGGGCAAACTCCCTGGGGAAAAGCCACGGGGTAAGGAAACTCACTGAGCTTCAGAGCAAGAGGCCACTGAGCAGGAAGGCATGCCCCGTCTCCACGTGCAGTCCTGTGTCCCCTCAGCCCTGGCCTTCCCAGGTGGGGACACCTACTGACCTGGCCTGCCATTTTCAGGCTGTGAGGAAGCCCTGTCTCAGCACCTCTCCACCCAGTACCCTTGTTGGAGAGAGGCTGATGGGGTTCCCCACAGACGGCAGTCGTGCCAGCAGTGTGGAGTAGCAGGGAGACAACATGGCGATCTAACAGTCCCAGGAGTCACCTCACCCACGGTGGCCCAGTTACTCACTGGTGAAGTCGGAAATGCTGACCAAGAGCCAAGGCTCTCCAACGTCCTGGTCTCGGATCGCCTTCACACTTTTCAAAGTTAATCCTATCGCCCATATTTGTTTGTGTGGCTTCTCTCTCTGGATATTTACCATTTCAGAAATTAAAACTGAGGAAAATGTATTTATTGTTTCATTTGAGGATACCAGTGCTAAACCTATCACGTATCACATAAATAACATATTTTATGACACTCACTGCAAGTCCTGAGACAATTTTTTTTTTTTTTTTTTTAACAAGAAGAGCAGTACGCTTTGCCTTTTTGTAAATGTCGCTCACGTCTGGCTCAGTAGAAGAGGCTGCGCTCCTGGTCAGTCTGTGGTCACTTGGTAAGGTTTTTGTCCTTAGGACCACACTAAACAAATGGTCGCCTCGTGAAGGTCCGCTACAGTACGGTACCTGGAACCACATCCACACACGTTCGTGCTGCCACATTTAAATCTAGTGTTCCCTATTGTTCTTTGAATGGACCTTTTCACCCTGCACAATTATAAAACAGCAGCATGGGTCATCTTGGAAATATCAGATCACTGAGTTATGCAGCTCCTCTACATTTTGACACTTTTCATTATACAACATCAAAACATCACATTAGTTAATATCACCACCAATCTCATCAGAAGAGTCTTTAAATATTAGGAAGCTGTCAAGCTCACAATGACAAATACAAGTTTTCCGAAATTCTAATTTTCAGTTGAAAGCTTAAATTTCAAATTGGTAACAAATACTGTCAGTGTTCTTAAAGAAGCTGGCTTCCTTCTCTCTCTCTCTTTTTTTTTTTTTTTGAGAAAATGTCTGCCAACCACTCAAGTCTGAATACTCATTGACTGTTGGTTATGCTTTTGAGAAAAAATGGGGTTCCATGAAAGAAGCTGCTAGATCATCTTGCAACTCAACCCTACGTGTATTTTTTTTGAGTCACTGTTGCTCTTCAGTAGCCTCAGAGGTGTCCTACGTGCGCTTCCGGAGTCATCAAACAAAATGCTACAAAGACATGAACTCAAGGTCAGGATTCCCCAAGGGTAATACAGGTGACTGCTCTGAGGACATTCTTAGGTGAAGCTAGCATGTGCCTGCAAGGTGTGTGTGTGGAGGGGTGTGGATGTCCTCGTGAAGAGCATATGACCACCGTGTCATTCCGTGTGACTGACATTAAGGTGCCAGCATTCACTCGCCTCTGCTGGTGGACCTTCAGTGCAAATGTCACCTGGACACTGAAAGGGACTGAGAGGCCCCTGTGTTGAGAAGCCCTATTCCAGAGACGGCCGAGTTCCTGTCTATGTCCTTCAGGATTTTAATCTTCATGCTTTGTTCCTTGCTGAAATGTTTGCATGCTAAAGGGGGAAGACTTCTCAGGGGAATCTTGGTCTTGGAATGAAATTTAAAGGATCACATTCTTTGGTAAGAGAGGAGTTTTACATTGTCTCCCAGATTATCTTTGTAAGGACCCCTGCGCTGCCTTAGGAAGCAACAAAAGATAGCATCTTTGCAACTTCCTCAGCCACCCTGGCTCTGCCTTCCTGTGACAGTGCTAAGCTGTGGCCTACCCTTCCCCCTCAAAGCCATGGAGTGCAAATTATGGGGCTGCAGAAAAACAAAAGAATTTAAAAGGAACACACGAAAACCCATGCCAATGTGAGGCTGTAGAAACTCCCCACATGGAACCCGAGAGGCTGATGGAGAGGGGGAGCAGGAGCCCAACATCACGGGGAGACAAAGAGCAATGGGTGACTAATAATTCCTGGTTCTAACCAAGTCTGTAAAAATCCTTGCTGTGTGGCTTTATTTATCTAAGCAGGCAAGTTCTAATAACATATTATCAGTTATTTCTTTTGTGCAGGAGATGCTAAACTTTAATTAAAGTACAGGGTATCTGTCAAAAGCATTTTCTCTCCCAAATCCTAGGGCAGGGTAAAGAACGGTTTGCCCAACCTCGTTTCCAATTGGCTGCATGGGAACCGGCACCTCTCATTGGCTAGTGGGTCATTGCGTTGATGAGTCATGGAACCAGGATGGGGAAAAACAGAAGCAAAAAGATAGCGACGAAAAGCCCTCGAGGTCATCAGACCTGGTCCCCCTGCCCTGGGATAAGCCACACCTAGACCTCATTAACTAATAATTCCTATTGAATTCTACTTGGAGATTTTTAAGGTGGAAGGAAGCATTCTTCTATCTGCCATAATTTTCTTAGAACAGTCAAGGCCTCTCCCTGAAAGAGAGGCCACTTGCTGTAGAGGTGGACCTCACTTTAATTAAACCTAATAAATAAAAAGTAGTAGTGGCCCAGCTAGCCCGGGGACTCCACTGGGGACCGCCTGGCAGTTTCCTCCTCTGAGAGGCATACCTCACTGTGCTGCTACCCCAAGGGGATCCTCCCCCGCTCCTCTCCAGGATCCACTGCACACTCACCGCCCACCGGCGCCATCCATTTTTATCCCCTTTATCTCCATTAGAATATAAAGTGCACAGGGGGCTTTTTTGTCTCCTTCAACTCTCTCTCTAGCAATAGAACAGTGCTACGTGCGTGTTCTAATGGTAGGGCGAAAATAGCTGTCCAACCTGTTTCTGGGGCATGATAGAAAGAGAGATTCTTCGCATCATTTATTTTGCGTCACAGTTTTTCTAATCTTCTAGTTGTCTGCAGATTATTGCAAAATTGAATTTAAAAAAAAAAAAGCAGTTACAGGATGAGAATTTGTGGAAGAAACAACCAATCAGCGATTGATCTGAAATGAAATAAAGCATTGTAAATGTGAACACATATCAATGAGAAAATTAGGTTTGATTTCTAAAAATGAAATAGGTCTAATTTTGTCTGTTTGGTCCTCTTGTACTGCCTGAGTCCTCTTGTGTATTTTTTAGCAGATACGGGCAACATCCAATGCCTGTCCACTGTCCACGTGTGAAGCCCAGCAAGTGAAGAGTCGCTTGGTCAGACTGTGCTGTGCTTCACACCCAGATGTAGCCCATCGACACCTGCATCCCTGTTCCCTGAGTCTGACAGCAATCACCGCCACACTCACTCATTGTGTTAAAGAGCGCCCAAAGAAGCAACAGTCTTAGAGTTTTTCATGCTTACTCAGTTTGACATTAGACTTGGAAAGTCACATATTTTATTCAAACCAGTAGTTTGGAGTGCATCTCACTTAAATCAGGAGAACGACGTTCAGAAAGCTAAGCGAAGTAATTTGCCCAATGTCACACAGCTCCTAGGAGCAAACACTCAATAGTATTCGCCCAGTTTTTCTGCATTATTGTGGAAGCATTAGAGTCATGGATGGAGCCTCTCCCACCAGAGATCAGTGCAAAGAAGTCCGGCCACCCCAGTGTTTGCCCAACTGCCCCCAGGACGAGGGGACCAATACATCTGCATGCCTGGGACCCACTTGCAGCCCACCCAGAGGCCGGCATGCATGCTGGGTGAGAAGGTCAATTCCAACTGAGAAAACCGAGAAACAGAGGGCAAGCCGTTTGCAGCATAACCAATTGGTACCAGAACCAGAACAAAAAAGCCAGTGTGCTCACCACTGGAAAGAATCCAAAAGAATGCATATAAAGGGCTTATGTTTACAAAAACCAACCAACAAGCATGATGGTGGTGACATTAGCAGCAACGAAAACCCAGGCAGACTAAGTGACTTGGATGAAGTCTCACAGGAAGTGAGAGAGTTGAACTTAAAGCCCAGCACTAGCAGTCAAGGTCAGCGCCATACGGCTATTTCTGCAGAGACATTTCCCTTTGTGTAGCTGAAGTTAAGCATTTCATTCCTCAGTAATATTTTTTAAATGTTTACTACCTTTTAACAAAAATAGTTTTATTATCCAGATCATTCCATTTCTTTATCTATACAAAACACAAAACATGAATTTATTAGATATTCCAAACACCATGAAACAGAGGGCAAGCAGGTTGCGGCATAACCAGTTAGCACCAGACATTCGTACGATGGCAAAACCTTTTTGGGTTCAGGTGGTTTCGACATGCCCATTTGCAAGAGGAGGAATTGAGGCTGACCAAAAAAATCAAGCTCACACACACAGCATCATGGGAGGAATCCAACTTCCACAGCTGCTCCGGAATCATAACATAGAATAACAAATGACCTAGAAAGATGAATGATGGTGTCTTAGGAAGCATTTTATGAGCAAAGAATAAAAAGTAATGGCTAACATTTAATGAATTCTTACTATGTGATAGGCATTCCAAACATCTTAGAAGGATTAGCTAATAAAATATTCCTATAATGGGGGAAATACAATTATCCCCGTCTTATGGATGATGTGGCTGAGGCACAAACACATCAGTTTGCCCAGTAGGTAACAGGCAAGAGGGGGCAGTTTCAAGATTTGAACACAGGCTGACTTTTTTCAGGATAGGTTTGACCACTATGGTATATGACCTCTGTGAAACTCTAAGGGCAATCATGATACTGTGGGTGGAGGGGTGTGTGTGTGTGTGTGTGTGTGTGTGTGTGTGTGTGTGTGTGTTGGGGAGAGTTTCACTGGAGAAAGAATGCAGAGGAATAGGGACTATATTTGAAGAAACTCAACAGAAAATTTAATTGGAAAAGAATCCAAGAGAATGCATATAAAGAGCTTATGTTTATGAAAATCAACCAATGAACAAAACCCCC